AGTCATTCTATCCTAGCAAGCAAATAAACGTACAAACCCATCTCGAAGCTATTGCCATTTCTATACATCTCAATGAAATAAATTTAAATGTATGCAACTTGTATTTACCCAACCAAACTAAAATCGAATTTTCCGACATCGAAAACATAATTAAACAACTCCCCAAGCCATTTATGATATTAGGCGACTTTAATGCACATTGTACCATGTGGGGATCAGAAAAAACAGACCATAGAGGCAAGATAATTGAAAAAATACTAGAAAACGAAAATATTGTAATTCTAAATGACACATCCCCCACCCACATTAACCTAGCCAATGGAACCTTATCATCTATCGACCTAACAATGTGCACATCCTCCTTAGCCCAAAGACTCAAGTGGAAAGTGCTGCCTGATATCTATAGCAGTGACCATTTACCTATACTCACAAACTTCATGCCCAGGATAGGGGATACTAATACGAATAAAAACCGTAGATGGAATCTAAAAACACCCAACTGGACATTATTCAGTGATATTATAGAGGAAGAAATTACCAAAATACAATATAATGACCAATCCAATATAGAAAACGCAGTCAAAATATTAACTAACATAATCACCTCAGCAGCAGAAATATCAATCGGTAGCTGTATAAACCATAACCAAAACCCCAAAGTTCCTTGGTGGAATGATGAGATTAAAAGAGCTATATTCAATAAAAAGAACGCCTTAAACACGTACAAAAAAAATAAAACCTTAGAAAATTTCATACAACTCAAAAAACTGCGTGCCCAAGCCAAATTTTTAATAAAAAAAAGCAAAAAAAACTCATGGAAAGAATTCACAACCAGCATAAACTCCAAAACTAACTCATCCAAGATATGGAGCAAAATCCATTCATTGAAAGGTATAAACCGAAACCAAGAAATTCATATAACTGACGAACAAGGAACAACATCAGCTCCAGAAATGTCGCCGAAAAAATCGGCGCTTACTTCCAAGATAATTTTAGCAACAAAATCTACACACAAGAATTTATCAATGGAATAAAAACACCAGCCGAAAACTCACAAATAATCTCAATGATAAACCCGAACAATAGCGACCAAATTGTCTTGAATTCCAGTATAACACTCAATGAAATGGAAACTGCACTTAATAAATGTCAAAGCAAAAGCCCTGGACCAGACAGTATCCCATATTGTTTTATTATAAACCTAGGCATAACAGCAAAAAAATTTCTATTGAATATATATAACAATATATGGCACACAGGAGTTATACCTAAAGAATGGAAAAAGGGAATAATAATTCCTATTCTTAAACCAGGGAAAAACAAACATTCCACTGAAGGATACAGACCTATCACACTCCTAAACACAATGACAAAAATTATGGAAAAAATTATAAACTTAAGATTAATATGGTTCTTAGAAAAAAACCAAATACTTTCTAAAGAGCAAAGTGGATTTCGCCACACCAGATCAACAATGGACAACCTAATTACAATAAAAACTGAAATAGAAAATGCATTCGAACATAAACAAATACTCGGAATGATCAGTTTGGATATAACAAAGGCTTACGATTCTGTATGGAGACATAGAATACTAGCTCTACTAAGCAAAATCTTAACAAACGGCAATATGTTCATGTATATTACAAACTACCTAAAAGAAAGACAATTTCAGGTCAAAGTATCACATACCTTATCAAAGACGTTCTACCAAGAAAATGGTATCCCACAAGGATCATCACTGGCAGTCACACTCTTTCTCTTGGCCATTAATGATATTGTCGAAACAATCAAAGTTCCTGTAAAAGCTAATTTATTCGCCGATGACTTTAACATTTTTTGCAGAAGTAATAACCTAAAAACCGTCCAAGAATTACTCCAAATAAGTGCTAACAGCTTATCAGATTGGTCAAAAAAAACTGGCTTCTCATTCTCTAACCTCAAATCCAAAAGTATTATCTTTACAAAACAAAAAAAAATAAAAGATCTCAATATAATACTAGACAACGTAGTTATACCTCACCATAATAAAATTAAAATCTTAGGAATAACATTCGATTCCAAACTTAATTGGATACCCCATCTAAAAAATATTCGTGACTCGTTATCTCAAAAACTCAACATAATCAAAATAATCGCCCACACATCATGGGGTGGTGACAGCGCATCTCTTTTAATGATTTATAAAGCGTTAATTCGATCTAAAACAGATTATGGATCAATACTGTTAAAAAATGCCAAAACCAACCACTTAAACATGGTTCAAACTAAACTAAATACTGCTATAAGACTTTCAATAGGGGGATTCAAATCCAGCCCAATTGAGAGTATTAGAAACATTGCTAATGAAATCCCACCTAACCTTAGAAGAGAAAAACTACTGCTATTATATTGTGCCAGAACCAAAAGAAATATCAACAATCCAGCCATCAAAGTAATAAATGAACACATACAGCAAGCCGAAAAAGAAAATATAAAAATAAACAATATTTTAGAAAGAAAACAGTACAATTTTCCCCCTTGGAACACAACATTCAATGTTAACCTTACTTTAACTCAATTCAAAAAAGAAAACACAATGCCCTCCATATATAAAAACATGCTCAACAACATATTGCAAGAACACCCAAACAGCGTACACATATACACTGATGCATCCAAAACAAATGACGGTGTCGGTCTCGCTATGATAATAAACAATCAAACAATAGCATACAAACTTCCACCTCAAGCATCAATATTCACAGCAGAAGCGATGGCAATATACAAAGCTGTAAAATATTTCCACACTGAATATTCAAACAACCAAACAAAATGTATAATACTTAGCGACTCACTCAGCAATTTAATTGCCATCACAAATACTCGAAACCAAACAGATATCACTAAGCAAATACAAGAAGAAACTTTTCTTGCAGAAAATAAAAATATATACATCCAGTTTGTATGGATTCCGGGCCACATAGGCATTCCAGGAAATGAAATGGCTGACCTAGAAGCCCATAATGCAATCACCTCCACATTAACTGCAACCATAAAGTCCATCACATTCGCAGATGCAAAAAACGAAATTAAACTTCACACAAACAACAAATGGCATTCCCACTGGCGAAAACTCAACACCAAACTCAATAAAATAAAAAACAATATAAACCCATGGATAAATCCTGAACTCAGTAGAAAAGAAGAAACCATAATAAACCGTCTACGAATTGGACACACACACCTAACACACAGCTATTTGATGACCAAAGACGATCCTCCACTATGCGACGCGTGCAATGTACTTTTAACGGTCAACCACATCATCACAGAATGTCAAAAATACAACAAGTATCGAAATCAATACCACATCTCAGAACAAATTTGTCAAGCACTAGGACCAAACTCTCAAGACGTTAAAAACTTAATTTTATTCTTAAAAAAAACAGAATTGTACAATTTAATTTAATGTAACCATGTAAATGCTAAAATACTAACAATGTAATCTAAAATTCGTGTACTAATGGCCTAGTTGTCGATGTATAGTTCAGATCAATAAAAAAAAAAAAAAAAAATTCTTTATTTTGGAATAACCGATTTCTAATAGTTTTTAATAAGTGAGGCGCATCTGAAAAGACATAAACCTTCCGGGAAGAATTAAAAGGATTGTTAAAAAAGTTTTTGAAACTGTCCATTTTTGCTGATACCTTTATATGTAATATGATGACAATTGTCAGTTTTTATAAAATAAAAAAATAAATATTTTAAATTTGTTCACCACCAAGTAACATAAATGTTTACCCCTAATGTACTCCACATTGTTCGGTTTGTCGATGCTCCATCACTAGTTATACCCACTACATGTCCACCAGCATCCTCCATTAACAAAATTGCTTTAATTATCAATGTAGCAAGATCAACACCTACAGTTAATAATTAATATGCATTTAGTTATATTGAAAACTATTTCTATTATTTATCATCATTTCACCTTTGACTGGACCGTTTGACGCAAAAACCGCAATTGGTTGTACAAACTTATCTGCCATACTTTGCCACATGAATACTAGACCATGGTTGGCTTTTTTATTACTGCTTATTTTGTTTTCTACTTCATTGCCAAAATTTTCTAACCCAATATATGAGAGTGTACGACTATTAACGCTCAAGCTCTCCCTTAAGAACATTTCATCAATCAGAATAATTCCTTTTTTTTGTTGATCTTTTTTTCCTCAAAATTTCTTTTTGATTAATTTAAATAAATTAGGATCAAAACCACAATCAATTTTGACAGCTAATAAATGTCTTCGAATTGTGTTGGCGCAGGGTAAAGGTAAAATTTTTTGATTCCTTAAAAATTTATACCCGCTAGGAGATCTATAACATAATATGAAAGAAATAAAAACTATTATTTATTAATACCAATAATATTTAAATAGGTAATAAAAATGTAAAACCTGATTTGAAACAATAAACATAATATCATCCAATTCTCGCTGTATCTTCTATTTTTTGGATTTTTCATTTTTGAAGCGTTAAATATTTCATAAATTAAATCTATTTGTGATTTTGGAATATTGGAATTTTCTATTATGTTTTGGAGATTGGAATGTGAAATTTCTTTCATTTTAGTTTGAAGTTCATTTAATTTGTTAAGTAATTGAACATTCTTTTTAACAAATCTTGAATTTTTTTTTCTCATTACAGCATTTCTAGTTTTAAGTTTTTCTACAATTTTCTTTTTATTGGGCCGATAGATTTTATTTTTAACACAAAACCAAAGGCGTTTACAACATAAACATGTGTTACTAAAATTAAATAATACCGATATTGGTTTGATAGTATAAAATATACATACCTATTAAGCTAATTACCTTTTACTATTTGGACTGAGTATCATGGAACATTTTGAATGTCTCCACTGACCAAATGATTCCACAAATTGTGAACCAAATGTCGATTTTATATTTACAAATTTATCTGAAGACACTGATACACCTATACATACTTTGGTAGATTCAAGTACCTAGCTTAATAATGTTTTCAAGATCTTCAATGCTCTCTGGCTTATGATTTGGTGGTAAATCAATATCTTTAGTGGACATTTCTTTTCCATTCACATGTATAAAGACATTGAAATCTATTGAATAATTAGCAATAAATCAATTTAAAATTGTTATTATTTTTTTGTTAAACTAACCTTTTGTTAAAACTATTTGCTTTTCAATAAATCTTGAAAAATCATCCTTAAATAAACCTAATTTTTGGAATGCGACTACTTTTTCATATTTAGGATGATAAGTTAAATCTGTGAACCATTTTGGTGGAACAGTAAGTAAACTTAGTTTTTCCAAAACAGATTTAAATAATGTAGTAGTAACTGGCTGTATCAATATTTATGATAATATAATTTAACAATTTGACTCAAAATAGAAGCTAACAAATTTATTAAGAACATAAATTATACCTTAGATTGTATTATACTATACTCAGAAGTTGGAGATATGGTCGAATTTTCATTTAAATTATCACTTGTATACAAATCAGTTGACATATTAGATGTATTAATTGTACCTTGATGTACACTATAACAATGGTCGTGCTGTATAGTGCTCAATTTTAAATTGTATTGTACCTAAATATATTTTATTTTACACTTAAGTATGTTTTTACTTCTATATTTTATTATTTTTAATATTTCAAAATATTATACCTTTCTCTTTTCAGTCAAAGGAGTGTTATTCCATTCTTGTTTAGCTACATCTATAAATGAATTATTCACACCTAAATCTATAGTTATATTTTCAGGAATTGCTCCTTCACGGAGTCTTGCTCTTTTTAAACATACCTTAAAATGTTATTATACATTTTATAATTCATAAATCATAGTTAACTATATTATAATATTAAACTATTAAAAAAATGAATACAAAATATATTCTGTACATATACACAATATCTAATTATAAAACCTAATTACTATTTGAAACAAATACATTTACTTACTGTATACTTGCTGGTAGCTTGTCCTGATTCCCAAGTTTTTATAACATCCTTATGATGAAAATGATTTGAGCAAACTCTTGAGGATGGTTTAAAATCTATACCTAAACTTACCTTCCACAAATTTAACTGGTCTACATCTTTGGGTACACCAAAAGTACTTTCCCCTTTATTTTTACAAAATGGAACACAACAAGACATTTTAATTGTACCTTTTAAAATTAAGTACAACAAAATGACATAATATGAATAAAGCAGAAAATCAAAAATCAGAAGCTAAATCAAATGACATAAAAAAAAGAGGCAAAATTTCATAATAGATAAGAATATAAGATCTTTAATCGTAGTCGTTTTGCTTATTTCGACACCGGGAGCGCTAATGCTCTATTCTTGACAGCTGTTTTATAGTGTCATTTTTAAAGTCACTGCAGGACGCTATTAAACATAGGTCGTTGTGCAACCTGTATATCTTAAATCGTGCCCATAATTAACCTGTACCTACCTCCTTCCTAACGTTGAATCTCTCGTTCAGAGTCGCCGTATGTTAGATTGCCTATGCGCGGAATTTCGGGGGGCAACATACGATAACGAAAACTTCAGGTGTTAGGTTGCCTATCCACCCGGAATTCGGGTGTTAAACAAAAAACATAAAATAAACCGTTTTCTTCTGTCGAGACATACTCGGCTGGTCCTTCGACATCAATCCACGAACATTAAATACATTTTTTTTGAAAACAATTTATTTTAAAATTTCATTGTGTGTATAAAATAAAATATTATAAACGTGCATTAAAAGTTGGAAGTACCCACGAAAGTCATTTTTAAATAACTTCAAAATAAATTAAAAATTTAAAATATTGTTCTTTGTTTAAATAACTAATTTTGTTCAAATTTGAACTTACAATGACATAAAAAAAAATTTGCGTTATATTTTTAATTGAAATTATGAACTTCTTTTGAGAAATCTTGTTTAAATTGTTAAATCCTTAGCTATAAAAATTGAATGTTTTATAACTGACCTGTTTTATTTATTTTTTTTTTTTACCTAGAGTTGTGAATTAGTCAAATCGTTTGAATTGCAGAGCATTCACAAACGGCCTTCGGAAGAAATACTATTAGATTCTCGTAATTTTAATAAATTATAAATTTTTAAAGTTTATAACAGAATGAAAAATTTTGAATTGAAAAAAATTTAAATATAACTTATTTTAATTGACATTGTCTTATGCCTACAAATAATTTCAAAAACAGTCAAACTATTTTGAAAATTGTACGGTGTATAGAAAAGTTACTACAAGAATCTAAATTCAATTTTTCAATAACTGGTTTTACTTAACAATTTCAGTTTTTCTTTAATTTTGTATCTGTTTTCCCAATAGTCTTTCCAGTAGTTTTTGGAAAAACTACTGGGCATTATTTATTTTTGACTCCCCCCCCCCTCCACCCAAAAGTACAAACTAGATTCACTAGAAAGCTGGTTAGTGGATGACACTCTGTTGTACAGTAGGTTACAAGTGGGTCATTGTATAATGGATTGTATTAAACTTGAATTCAATGATATAATATTATCATTGTATAAGAAAAACGATTCTGAGCGGACATGGTTTGTCAGTCTGGATATTTTATATTGTTATTATGTATTATATCATGTAAGTTGAATTGATTTACTAAAAGATAAGGTACTATATGTTGAAATCGAAGCACTCTTTCTGGTACAAATTTTGTATACAGGATATAAAAAAAAAAAATAAACACCATTGTAAAACCACCACTAGCTTAATCGCTCCGCTCAGAATCTAAACACATATCATTGTAATAATTCAATCAATTCATCGCTCCTCTAAGAATGTAAACATTTAGGAAATGGTGGCAATTTGCAATCAAAACCAGTTTTTGACAAAATAGATTTGGTTTTCAGGATATATAACTCAAAATGAATAACTATAGGATCTTGACATTTTCACAGAATATACTATAATTGATATTTAGTTACTTGACACGACATAATTTTCAAAATATAATTAAAAAAATTAAGAATAATGCTAATATAGTAATATGTAATAATATTACCTTATACAATTTTTGTACAGAAGTGCAGGAATCGAAAGTGAGTGGCATCGAATTGGCAACGACGGATATTCAAGACAATTCAACATTGGTAAAATATTGTTTGATCTGTTCCACCATTTAAATTAATTATTTTCATTTGTTTTTTTTTTCGCTTAGAGTTGCGAATCGGTCGATTCTTTTAAAGAATCACTAGAGAGTATTTCTAAAGAGCCTTTGGAAGCAATAATATCGGATCCTGGTAATATTAAACGTTTTTTTTTTTGCTTTTGCAATCTGGCACCCAATCAACTTAGCCCTACTGAAATTTCTTATTCAGCGTAACATGTTTACAGGTAGCCTGGGAATCCGGTCCCCACCCCATTAGATGTATCAAAATTAAAAATAATAAACAAAAAAATTACTAATAATATATTCGAGGGTGGGTAGTTAGCTATTTTTTTTAACTCATTAAGTTAAGTTAAAATTGAAAAAAGTTTAAAATTCAAAGTTACTTTTGTTTTTTTAAATGAATACTTGGAATCTATGCCAGAGTACAGTAAGAAAACTTGATAAAAGTAGATATATTAAATATTATACACAATAACAAAAAATATTTCATTCTAAAATTAGATTATAATTAAAAAATAAATAAATAATTATTAAGGTTGTTTTAAATTTAAAAAAATAACAACTCACTCTAAATAATAAAATGAACACACATTCAGGAAATATTTGAATAAATAGGTTCATACTTTATTTTACAAATATAATTTGTCCACAATTTGTGGAAACTGATTTATTAAGTACCTATGTTATTTTACTCTATAAAAATGAATTTCTCATTTACATTTTAAACTTGGGAAATAGTAATTAGTATTTACTTATTTTTTATCCAAAAATTATAAATTCCCTACATTTTGTGTTATTTTCTTTAGAATTATCCGAAGAGAAATCGGATAAAATCTCGACTCCTTCATCTTTGAGTTTAAACCGACTTTTAGAAGAAAAACATGAATATTATCTTCATAAGTTCGTTTAATTAATTAATTCATTAAAATTAATTCTGATTTATATAGAAAATTAATAATTATACTTAAAATATTATGTAATAAAAATGTTTTATAGTAACGACCGACATGTGATAGCGGAACTTTTTGAAAATCTGTTTGGTAAAATCAAAAAAATCGATAGCGCAACTAAACACCTAAAGAAAAGCATCAAATCATTTGTAAATGATTTTATTTTCGAATTTAATGTTCATAAGTAATAAAGTTATTGTCTTAATTTCAGAATGCAGAGGATGGTTTGGATGGTTCTCCAGACAGTGAGATCGATGCATTCAAAAAAATCGCTTTCACAGACATGGGTTCGGCGTTTGAAATTTAAAAATATGGTTATGATGTAAATCACTATAACATTTAATTAGCTTGATTTATATTGTGAAAAATTTAAAATACGATTCTTAATCTCAATTTTTAATCAATTTTTTACAGCGATTTAAACTAGAAGAAAATTTAAAAACTTAGAAATGAGTGCCAAAGGAGAGACTTTTCGAGAAATATTTGGAGCGACCCAGCAAAGAAAAGATTTACATTCAAACTTATCTATTTTAAATTTCAGAGAATTTGACTTGGATTATAGAACAAATTTTAGGACAATTCAAACTTTTATAGAGTTACACGTAAGTATTTTATATATTTTTATTTATTTATATGTGGCACTATATTATGTGCTTACATATATACAAATAAACTCATAATCACATATAATGTTTGTGTTGCTAAATATAGAAAGAATTATTAAATAAGGCTAACACTGATATCGAAGAACTAAAAAAAAATTGTTTAAATGATGATTACTTGATATTTAAAAAAGATGTTTTAAAGAGACTTATTAAAATTGAAGATGACATAAAAAAATACATTGCAAGGGATCCCGAGGCAATGGGTATCGCCAGATTTATAAAGTAAGTAATACCTATTATAAACTATTTAAATAATTATTGATATAATTTATGAACATTTTTTTAATATAAACATAGTTTTAAATAAACTAGGATGTACAACGTATAAATTATGACCTTAAAATTTGATTGCAATCCATGAAAAAACTTTATATCATATTATGTTTTGTAATTAATAATGAAAATTAAAAACGAAGATAGGTGTATAAAGTAAAATATTCATAAATATAAAATATAAAATTAATTTGTTTATTAACAAAATTTATATATTTTATTTTGTTCAAAAATTATAATTAGGTAGGTATAAAAGATACTAAAACAGATTATACCATAAATGATTTAAATTATTAATTAACAAATATAACTATTATTATTCTTTTGCGCAAGGTGGTGTTCATAAAGTTAACTTAATAATTAATGTCATTAATGTTCAACTTATTTTAAGCTTACATCTGGTTGTTAATTTTTATCCTCAAAATTATTATTTTATAAACGTTGTGTACTTAAGGAATTAATTTAAAAAATATAACGTGTATAGGCTGTTTTTTGTGCTTAACACATTTACACATTTTTACATTTTTACTTTAATATTTAATCAATTAAATACAATACGATAATAGTGTGCCTCAATCGATCCCCTTGTACATATTATTGTGAACAATTATAATATTTTGTCGGAATGCAAATCGATTTAATCGTTGCGATGCATTATTGAAATAAGAGATTTTTGACTTAAAAAAAACGTATATTTATATATAGTTATAACATTATGTTTCTTGGTAGGTAATCTAAGTGATGTTTTTTTTTTAAATTAATTTTGCTATTGAATGTTTATTTAGCATTATTCCACTGTCGACAACCATCAAGTCAAGTTCAATTTCATTATTTTAATTCCAATCAAAGTTAAAAATTAATTTAAGAGTTTCAAGAATTTAATAAATATATTTATTTTCTCTCACAGACCCACATTTAACATAGATAAAATATGACACGCTTAATATGATAAAAACATTTTCGTAAATTATAATATTAAATTATGTTTAAATTGTTTTGAGCCAATATTTAGACAAATCGGTATGTATTACCCTCATATTATCGAAATGTATTTCATTTGAAAGAGTCAAACTCCATGATGTATGTTCATGTTATATTAATTGATATACAAGTAGTTAAGAGACGTTCGAGTATCATTTGAAAAATATTAACGTTAACTCGTTTACATTTTGGGTTACGCATTAAATGCTTTGGGAATGTTTATACATCCACTAGTTAGTATGTACATGGCTATAAAATTTAATGCTGAGAAACTGACTTACTAAGTGTATTCCAATGTATAAATTAAAATTCAACAACAAGAATACTTATGGCATAGATAAACAATAATACACAGCAACTGTGGCTGAAATTTCGTTGTGTTGTTTATTTAGGGACGGATCGTGCTTGTCATGTGCGACACCAGCCATGATGAAAACGACAAACACTGCTCCTGTAGGAAAAGATGTGCGCACAAGTTGTGACAGGTAGAAAAATTTAACCGTATTGTATTCCTATAATTATTTGTATGAAATTTTAAAAAGAAATTAATTTGTAAACTTTCATGATTTTGATGAATTTTGAACAAATTTAAACTTCAAAATATGCGTTTAAAAAAAATCGTACAAACCATTATAAATTTTATTTTATTTTTCGGGTAACAATGACTTAAAATATCACATTGTTTATCTTTATTACAAAACAGCCGACTTAACCGTGGAACGTTACAAGAGCAGAGGAGAAAAACGAATGCAAACAAGCCCACTGGTAAAATTGATGTATTACCAATTAATATCAAAGTGGAGCAGAAAAAAAGCAGTCCTGATGTAGGAAATTGTTACTACAAAATAAACAAACTACAAATGTACTTTAATAGGTATGAATACAATATATTAATATATTATTAACATTTCATCAAATTCATTTACGATTACGTCATTAAAAATACATATATGGTTATACCAAATATGAATAAATTAACCAAGCATCAACCATAGCTCACCTATAGTCAACTCGTTTTTATTTAAAAAATATTTATTTCAATTCTGATTTTGAAATTTTTAAGTAGGTATACTTAAGGACCACATTTTCAAATATTTAGACTGTGGCGATAAAGAACTTACACTTTTTACTATGAATTATTATTATTATTATTCTAGTACTTTGAGCAAACTATGTGGTACCAACTTAACTATTTTATTAAATATGTATTCTGAATTTAATTCCCTATAAACTAAATAAACTTTACTTAATTTAATTTGACACTTTACTTCATATTTATATTATAAACTATTCACAAGAAAATACGAAAAGACACATGGTAAGATATCAAATAATTTATTGTTACATGAATAGTAAAACGGCAACGGTATATATTTTACATAATATCAGAAACAAAATTGCAGTATAAAAACTAATGTGATATTATGAAATTGATTTCAGAAGTCCACACTATAAAAGCTCCAGCTATAATCGGGTTTTAAAGGACATACAGAAAATGCACGAGTAAGTAAATATAATAATATAATATATTAGACACTGACCTAAATAAAATAATGTTTTAATATACACTGGCACATATACACAGTGCCAATGCTATGCCATACAAATACCTTCAAACTGAATGCAGGTACCAAATATATATTAGAAATGATAATCGGACATAAGCTAATAATTTAATACGTAATATAGATTTTCTTATAATTTGGGAATTCTGGATAAACGCACTTGTGTTTTAATATAAAAACATAGGCATGTCTGTGGAGGTGACATATTGAGAAGTTTTCTCTGTAGCGAGAGAAGATTAAATTTGAATTTAAGCGTTAAGCTAACGAATCATTATAACACTTATGACTGGATTTACGATGATTTTGAACTGCTATAGTAGGACCATAGTAGATATAGTGATGAACCTTGTGTTTTATTTTCGATCTTTTTTTACGAAGGATCAAACATTTTTACTACAGAAATCGACTAAAAGATATTAGTTAAATGTATACTAGTTAAGAGTATGAAAACAATATAATATTATTAACATTAAATGGATAATAAATAATTTAAAAAATATACTTACCTCTTGAAATTCCTAAATAGAATATTTTGAAACCAGTTATTACTTTAAAAATTACCTAATTTATTTCAAAAAAATATAGATATTTTAAAAATAAACGCTTTTATCATCAAAATGTGTCTGCAAATTATATTTACAAATTGTCTTTTATCCAAAAAAATGTAATTAAATATTTGTGATCGGTGGTAAAAAAAAATACTAGAGGTACTGTACTAAATTTGTGGCAAAGTGGTCTACAATACAAACTATTAAAATAAATATAAAATAAAATATATTTAAATGATTACAACAAGAGTTCTTCTTTCATTTGTCAGGTGTCTCTGTTACACATAACATTGCATAGATTCATAAGCACAGTTGGAGTAAAAAAAATCGTCTAAATACACCTTTATTACACCTGGAAACTCTTCACTTTCTATTAATCAAATAAATATTCCTCTTATGGAGGTGTTTAATGAATTATGGTCCTTAAAACCTAATCACTCCTCAGGTCCTGATAATATTTCCCCCAAATTTCTTAAAGAAACAGCATTTATTTTGTCACCAATTATAACCTTTTTATTCAATAAATCAATACAAACGGGTATATTTCCCAACACATGGAAATATTCTTTCATCTCACCTATATTTAAAAAAGGAGACAAATCTCTAGTCACTAATTATCGTCCAATCTCTAAGATTTCTATACTTCCTAAAATTTTTTCTAAACTGGTAAACAAAATTATTTTTCCCCTATGTGATCATATCCTTATTAATGAACAACATGGCTTTCGTCCTAAGCGTTCAACAATTACTAATTTATGTTTATTTAAACAATCAAATTTAGATTCATTTGTAGATAAAGCTCAAATAGACGTAATTTATACAGATTTTGAAAAGGCATTCGATAGGGTTAACCATTCTTTATTAATTTACAAACTAAAACTATATGGGTTTAATGATCCTTTACTTTCTTGGTTTAACTCATTCCTAATAAATCGTATACAATTTGTTAAATATGAACATTTTATATCTAATTCAATAAATGTATTATCAGGTGTTCCCCAAGGTGATGACCACCTATCTCCATTACTTTTATCTTTTTTCACTAACGATATTAATAAAGTTCTAAATTGCTCAAAATGTCTATTATTTGCTGATGACACTAAAATATTTAAAAAAATTAAGTGTATTGATGATTCATTGGAACTTCAAGCTGACTTAGATAATATTTATAAATGGTGTATCTATAATGGAATGTCCTTAAATATTGATAAATGCTCCGTTATTTCGTACTCTTTAAAAAAAAAATACTATACTTTATAATTATGTTTTACATAATACAAATCTAACACGTAAATATATTATTAAAGACCTAGGAGTTTCATTTGACACAAAATTATCTTTTAGTAATCATGTTGACTCTATTCGAAATAAATCATATATGAAGTTGGGATTATTAAAATGTATGTGTAGTGATTTCAACGATAGTTCAGCTTTGAAAATATTATATTATTCCTTAGTACGCTCCCATATTGACTATGCCTCTTTAATTTGGCACTCTGAATTTGTCAAAACCAGAGTCTATCTAGTATACAAAATAATTTTTTGAGATATTTATCTTTTAAATGCCACTTTGAAAGACGTCCTCTTTCTGGATATATTAATATTAGTATTTTTTTTAATATTGCTCCTTTAAATAGTACGAGTAGATTTAAAATGTTACATTTAAAATTTCTTTTTAAACTATTACATAATTTAATTGATTGCCCAGAACTTTTAGAGCGTATTAATTTCAATGTAAATATAAAAAATTCAAGAAATAAACATCCTTTTTATTTATCTATAATTAAAACTAACTACATGTTATACTACCCTGCTATTATATTAATGTCATGTGGTAACTTTTTTAACAACTTGGACCTGTTCAATATGACTCTTAGCTCGTTAAGTTGTCATTTTTAGATTATTACCTACTATTATATTAATTTTAATCGAATTGTTATATAATCAATTGTCTAACTTTTAATTTCTCTATATATATACAATATACATATTATATTCTTTTTTTTTCTCACTTTTTTTCTCTCATTCTTATATCATTTGTTTAATTTTTTAGTATAACACACACCTATGAAACTGTCATTATTTTTATTATTGTGAATTGGAATTTTATTCCGTTAATAAAATTATTATTATTATATAGGCCTCTAAAGAACTTGGAATAGTGATCCGGGCCCTTCCCATTCCAACTCTGCATCCAGTCAAATTTGATTAGATTTTTTTAATTCCAAAGATTTGAATTCAGTTCACGTTCTATTTGATATAACTTTTGCAACCGCTCATTAGTATATTTATAATACTGCGTGGTCAGAGATTTGAGAAACTGACTTACTTAATATGATAAAATTGTATTTCCAAATTAAAGTACATCCACATTTAGAATATAATATCAAGCTGTGGCTGAACTTTCATTGTTTTGTTGATATAGGGACGGATCGTGTGTGTTCTGTAGCGTACCAGCCACGAAAACAACAGACTCTACTTTAGTCACCGTGAAAAAAATTGAAATTTAAAATAGATAAGTTCGAATGTAAATCTTTTCTTTGCTGGGTCGCTCCAAATATTTCTCGAAAAGTGTCTCCTTTGGCACTCATTTCTAAGCTTTTTTAATTTTCTTCTAGTTTAAATCGCTGTAAAAAATTGATTAAAAATTGAGATTAAGAATCGTATTTTAAATTTTTCACAATATAAATCAAGCTGATTAAATGTTATAGTGATTTACATTATAACCATGTTTTTCAACTTCAAACGGCGAACCCATGTCGTAGATAGCGATTTTTTTGAATACATTAATCTCACTGTCTGGAGAACCATCCGAACCATCCTCTGCATTCTGAAAGTAAGACAATACCTTTATTACTTCCGAACATTAAATTCGAAAATAAAATCATTTACAAATGATTTGATGCTTTTCTTTAGGTGTTTAGTTGCGTTATCGATTTTTTTGATTTTACCAAACAGATTTTCAATAAGTTCCGAGTAGAATATATATGCCGATCCTGACACCGCCGCATCCCGCACCCGCACCCGGCACATCGCTTACGTGCGGGACATACCCCCCAATTCCCCCCAGCCTTCGAACCCGCACACACCCTTGCCCATATGCCGCCCGGAGAAAATAAGTTAAACAAATTTTTCCGTCAAACCGGGATTCGAACCCAAAACCCTAGGTCGGTGGGCGACATCCGTACTTGCCCTATTTAACTTCGATCGCATACGTGTGCGACATATATTTAATCATACATTATCACTAGTATCACATGTTATCAGTTACCGCGAACGTGTTTGTATTATCATTATAAAATTATTTCTATTTGTAATAAAATATTTAAAAAAAATAGGCTTTGGAGAGATTCGAATTCCACATCATTATCACAAACTCATGAACATATTATACAATTTACATAATATATACGATACATATGTATATTTATACATATAAATATGATATGACCTAACACTTACAAACTATATAATATACTATGAAACACACGATACCATACGGTACTACTCACCAGTTTTTATTCTTAACACACGCTCAACATATATATTATATACCTTATCATACATACAAGCATGCATACACACACACACACACACACACACACACACATACATACATACATACATACATAAAAATAGTATACAGTTTTCTTATTATATAATTACATACGTAAAAAACGAATCGCTAAAGCATACGTTATACACCGGAATGTATCTCAAACACACACACATACATAAACTTGTAAAAAATTATATTTTTTCAAAATATATACGTTAAAGTATAGAGATGTTCGTAGACATTCCTCTACCTGACAACATGCAGAAATATATATAGTATACCAATATACGGGCAACCGTTTACAGATGTCGATGAGTTTCGTTCATCCCTTTCTCTAGCACATACAGGCACATACACTCATATAACCATAGGTTAGTTCATACATATTTAGATACTTACATATTTGTATAATATTATGAGCACAGGGAAGTTTCATCAGTTTACGCGTTGTGTTCCACCGTGTAACACAACATTTCAAAAAGTATTATTACATTCATTATAACAAACACCTAAACATACTATAAAACTTACATATTATTGTATTATATATAATCATTTATTCCCATACATGGTACATATATACAGCATTCATACATAAATAGGTACTTTCATATTATATACACCATCACACACATCTAATCTTGTTATACAACTTTTCCCAATAATCACAAGATAGTTCAATTCTATTAGATGAGACCATAGTACCTAAGCTTAAACACGCATACTATAGAAAAATATTTCAATCAAAATAGATAGATCTACCTATATTTTATTCCGCTCAGAGGATTACTCGACAACATACACACAATTATATATTTATGTAACTAGTATGTATATACAGATGAAGGAGAATAGAGGATATCGACTCTGAGGGTCTTAGACGTCGTCTTCGAGATAGTTTGATCACTAAATGCAAAAATAAAACTATTATATTTCGACTTCACCGTTGATACAGTACATTTCATGTTAGAAATAATACAACATTTATTTTATTAAATTTGAATTAAACACAAATATGCTTATGCATCCTTACTTTTCATTTTATTATTTCCAAAATATTCACTTTTTAGTATAGAGTTGTACATAGTATATATTATTAGATATTACATGTAAATGTTATATCACAGAATAGATGAAATAGATTTCATCTATTCTGTGGTTATATGGTGTAATATCTAATAATATATACTATGCACAACTCTATACTAAAAAGTGAATATTTTGGAAATAATAATTCCTTAATATATAAAATTATAAAATAAGGCGAGTTTAGGTAATTATAATATATAGACTAGTGGATATGGTTAAAATGAAAAGTAAGGATGCATAAGCATATTTGTGTTTAATTCAAATTTAATAAAATAAATATTGTATTATTTCTAACATGAAATGTACTGTATCAACGGTGAAGTCGAAATATAATAGTTTTATTTTTGCATTTAGTGATCAAACTATCTCGAAGACGACGTCAAGACCCTCAGAGTCGATATACCTACTCTATTCTCCTTCATCTGTATATACCTACTAGTTACATAAATATATAATTGTGTGTATGTTGTCGAGTAATCCTCTGAGGAAAATAAAATATAGGTAGATCTATCTATTTTAATTGAGACATTTTTCTATAATATGCGTGTTTAAGCTTAGGTACTATGGTCTCATCTAATAGAATTGAACTATCTTGTGATTATTGGGATAAGTTGTATAACAAGATTAGATGTGTGTGATGGTGTATATAATATGAAAGTACCTATTTATGTATGAATGCTGTATATATGTACCATGTATGGTAATAAATGATTATATATAATACAATAATATGTAAGTTTTATAGTATGTTTAGGTGTTTGTTATAATGAATGTAATAATACTTTTTGAAATGTTGTGTTACACGGTGGGACATGTAGAAATGCCCGCTTATAAACTGATGAAACTTCCCTGTAAAAAGGTGCTCGGAATATTATACAAATATGTGTATGTATGTATATAATGTGTAAGTATCTAAATATGTATGAACTAACCTATGGTTATATGAGTGTATGTGCCTGTATGTGCTAGAGAAAGGGATGAACGAAACTCATCGACATCTGTAAACGGTTGCCCGTATATTGGTATACTATATATATTTCTGCATGTTGTCAGGTAGAGGAATGTCTACGAATATCTCTATACTTTAACGTATATTATAATTTTTTACAAGTTTATGTATGTGTGTGTGTTTGAGATACATTCCGGTGTATAACGTATGCTTTAGCGATTCGTTTTTACGTATGTAATTATATAATAAGAAAACTGTATACTATTTTTATGTATGTATGTATGTATGTATGTATGTATATATGCGTGTATGTGTGTATGCTTGCTTGTATGTATGATAAGGTATATATTAATATGTGTTGAGCGTGTGTTAAGAATGAAAACTGGTGAGTACCGTATGGTATCGTGTGTTTCATACTATATTATATAGTTTGTAAGTGTTTGGTCATTAAATATTTATATGTATAAACATAAATATACCCATGTATCGTATATATTATGTAAATTGTATAATATATATGTTCATGAGTTTGTGATAATGATGTGGAATTCGAATCTCTCCAAAGCCTATTTTTTTTAAATATTTTATTACAAATAGAAATAATTTTATAATGATAATACAAACACGTTCGCGGTAACTGATAACATGTGATACTAGTGATAATGTATGATTAAATATATGTCGCACACGTATGCGATCGAAGTTAAATAGGGCAAGTTATTACTTAAGAGTATATGTGGCGCAGTGGTACGGATGTCGCTCACCGACCTAGGGTTTCGGGTTCGAATCCCGGTTTGACGGAAAAATTTGTTTAACTTATTTTCTCCGGGCGGCTTATGGTCAAGGGTGTGTGCGGGTTCGATGGCTGGGGGGGAGGTGGGGGTATGTCCCGCACGTAAGCGATGTGCCGGGTGCGGTTGCGGGTTGCGGATGCGGGTGCGGGTGCGGGATGCGGTGTCAGGATCGGCATATATATTCTACTCGGAACTTATTGAAAATCTATTTGGTAAAATCAAAAAAATCGATAGTGCCAACTAAACTCCTAAAGAAAAGCATCAAATCATTTGTAAATGATTTTATTTTCGAATTTAATGTTCGGAAGTAATAAAGTTATTGTGTTACTTTCAGAATGCAGAGGATGGTTCGGATGGTTCTCCAGACAGTGAGATCGATGCATTCAAAAAAATCGCTTTCACAGACATGGGTTCGGCGTTTGAAATTGAAAAATATGGTTATGATGTAAATCACTATAACATTTAATTAGCTTGATTTATATTGTGAAAAATTTAAAATACGTTTCTTAATCTCAATTTTTAATCAATTTTTTACAGCGATTTAAAATAGAAGACAATTTAAAAAGCTTATAAATGAGTGCCAAAGGAGAGACTTTTCGAGAAATATTTGGAGTGTTCCAGCAATAAAAGACTTACATTCAATCATATCTATTTTAAATTTCTGAGAATTTGACTTGGATTATAGAACAAATTTTAGGACAATTCAAACTTGGCAATGGGTTTATCCAGATTTATAAAGTAAGTAATACCTATTATAAACTATTTAAATAATTATTGATATAATTTATGAACATTTTTTAAATATAAACATAGTTTTAAATAAACTAGGATGTACATTGTACAAATTATGACCTTAAAATTTGATTGCAATCCATGAAAAAACTTTATATTATATTATGTTTTGTAATTAATAATTAAAATTAAAAACGAAGATAGCTGTATAATGTAAAATATTTATAAATATAAAAGCTGTGGCTGAACTTTCATTGTTTTGTTGATATAGGGACGGATCGTGTGTGTTCTGTTGCATACCAGCCACGAAAACAACAGACTCTGGATCAGTTTCCATGGAAAAAACGTTTGCCATCTATGGATCCACAAAAATACAATTAAAAAATA